CACTCACTCACTCACTCACTCACTCCACTCACTCCACTCACTCACTCCACTCACTCACTCCACTTTACATCCTGCTAGCACTGCCCGCCGTGGTCGGGATAAGACCACTTGATAGCTTTGATGGTCGTTTCGAGTGTGTTACGTTTTGAAGGTCTCATGCGGATCTGATCGCAAAATCCAGAGCCTCCAAACTTCTCTCTCCGCCTCCTTCTCTCTCTCTCTCTCTCTCTCTCGTCCCTCTCATCCTTGTTCATCACATCATCAGACACTTTATCACACACCCACACACACACACACACACGCACGCCATCTTACCACACACACACACACACACACCTCCTCCCTCCCCTCCTTCTCATCCTCGTCCATCACATCATCACTTATACTACACGTCTTAGCACAACCGCCTCATATACCTTCTCTCCTAACACTTCGTTCTTGACTTTTCATCTCACTACTCCGTCTCCCATGTGATGTTCATATACACTTGAAATTTGTAAAACTTATCATGTGGGGTTATCCGGTCCTTTTATTTCTTTGGCGGGCAGGCCCCCAAATGCAAGCTGGACACCCACTGGGTGAGCTTCCTGGAAGATGAATCCCATTTTTGTCAGGTCAGCCACGTGCCCTCTCGAGCAGTAGTGACTAGTGGTTGCGTAGAAGATGCGAAAGTCTTCTTCGGTCTTCAGGCTCTGAGGGCTGTGCGTTCATCTTTTTTCGTCACAGCATCGCTCAATCGGAAGGCCCTTTGTGACGGTCTGTGACCCCGAGCATTTCTACTTCAGTGGCCTTGGTGCCTCGGAATGGGGAGAGCTTAGTAACAAGGTTCGCTACTAGGGGCTCCTGGCATCGCTACTAGGAGCAAGGACGCTACTAGCGGCTCCTGGCCTTACTACTAGGAACAAGTAGCTACCAGTAACAAGAAGCTACTAGGTTGGAGGCCATCGCTAGTAGCTTGGAGGCCATTACTACTAGTAACAAGAAGCTAAGAACGTAGCTTTCTTGAGCTCTCCGAGTGTCAAGACGTGTTGTTGTCTGCACTTGCAATTGAAGAAATGGTGGACTCGAATAGACACGACATATCTTTCCTTTCTGCGATGTCAGATGTGCCCAACTTTCTTAGCTCGTTTTGGAAAACCACTGAGGTGCGGAGCGTGTCTGGGGCGCAGGAATGGTGATGGCCAACTACTTGAGCACTTGGGAGGCCAATGGTCTGGAGGTGCAATCTTCGAGTGCTGTCTTTTCGCTCAGATCAGGTTCACTTTTTTGATTCTTATCTCCAGGAGCAAAAACGCTACTAGGGGCCCCTGGCCGTACTACTAGGAGCAAGTAGCTACTAGAAACAAGAAGCTACCAGGGGCTTCCGGGTCGCTGGAAAGATCCGACGCGGCTGGTGATTATGTATATAAATTGTATGTGACGGCAAACGCGCGTTTCGTCATTGCGGCGGCGATATCTTTCAGAAGCCGCGGTTATTTGCACCCTCTTTCCACCAAAGGTTGTCTCTGCCGCACTTCACAGGTCGTGGAGTTGGGTGCAGGCTGTGGATTGTTGGGAGCCAAGGGTGCCCAAGCTGTAGTTCCAGCATGTTCCAACCAAACGCTGCCGGCCAGCAAGGCCAGATTGACTCTCCCAAAGAGGGATTGAATACAGCTGGTGTTGTTGTCTAGAGCCATTTGAGTTTGCACCAGTGAGCAGTTTCTGGATTTTGTTGTGCTCTTTTTCCAACTAGGGGCTCCTGGCATTACTGCTAGGAGCAAGAAGCTCCTAGGGGCTCCTGGCACCGCTACTAGGAACAAAGGGCATCGCTACTAGGAACAAGAAGCTACTAGGAACAAGTGCATCGCTACTAGTAACAAGGGCCTTACTAGTAGTAACAAGAAGCTAGCAGTAGCTCATGTGGCATGTCGAGCGAGGCCTGGCTTGGTCCTGGCCCGCAACGGGGCCTCGGTGACCCTCACCGATGTGCCGTGGCTGCTGCTCGGCCGGTGATTTTGTTCCTAGCAGCGTCCGATCGCTCCGTTCGTAGCGATGCCCTTTGCTCCTAGTAGCATCCTTGTTCCTAGTAGTAGGGCCAGGAGCCCCTAGTAGTTTCTTGTTACTACTAGTAAGGCACTTGTTACTAGAAGCGATGCACTTGCTCCTAGTAGCATCCTTGTTCCTAGTACTAAGGCCAGGAGCTACTACTAGCTTCTTGTTCCCAGTAGCGATGCCTTTTGTTTCTAGTAGCATCCTTGTTTGGTTGCCCGGCCTCCGCCATTAGTCAACCTGGAACAGCACTCAGTCTTGATATGTGTGGATATGTCTCGATGTAAATGGAGGGTCGCTCTCTACATGGCGCCCAGCAATGGGCACTGGCACCAGAAGCGGCAACCAGGTTGCAGATGCTCGAGTACAACGTGGCCGCGAACTTCTCTCGAAGCGATCCGCTCCGGCCTTACGTAACTTGGCCAACCACCTTTGCGGCCCGCGAAAGCGGGGGCCATGGGACATCCAATGATTTTAGAGTCAGTTACGTGGCCTGAGAGCTTAGAACTGTTAGAGTGTTTGGATCAAGGATCCCTACAATTCCTTCACTGTGGTTTTTATGGTTCAGCTCAGTTCAGCTCTGCCCGCTGTTTTTCACCGTTTTGGGGTGTCCGGCTCTTCACGCCATGCCGATCAACAACCAAGCAGACAACAGAAAGCGTTCTGCACAACCGAAAGGTCGTAGATTCCTTTGCTAGTAGAAACAGGTGCATCGCTACTAGTAACAAGTGCCTCGCTAGTAGTAACAGGTGCCTTATTAGTAGATTCCTTTGCTACTTACAATTCTAATTAGATTCTTGTTACTACTAGTAAGGCACATGTTACTAGAAGCCGTTCTAAGTTACTATAAGTTACTCCTATTGAGTAGATCTTGCTCAACATAGAATGTCGACAATCTAAAAGCCCGAAAATGAGACCCTTGAAGAACGATGCCTTTCTTGAACTAGTTTGGTGGCCACACCAAAGACTCCCACTTCCCATTTTCCACGGTGGCTACTTTCAAGCTGCCAGGTGGCTCCTTTGCGGTGGGGCAACTCGGAAGATGTGGCGCAGGTGCTCCAGGCGACGCAAGACGCGCGTGCAAGGCGAAGGGTTCTTCCAAGCCACGGCTGGGAATCAAAGCCGAAAATGTACCCTCTAGCTAGCTGGGTTGGCTTTGGAATTTTCTATTTTGGTTTGTTGTTCATTTTGGAGGGCTGGCCACTAGGGCTGGACACAGAACGGCCAAATCAAAGTAAAAGCGGGAGCCTGGCAGCTGAAGTGCATCCGATCGCAGCCTACCAGAACCCAACGGGTCCCAACTAGTACGTAGCGCCCTTGCTCCTAGTAACGATGCAAGGAGCTACCAGTAGCGTCATTGCTCCTAGTTTGCAAACCCCTAACAAGAAAGATTGAAAATGGAGGGCAAGCAGGCAGTAGGAACAAGAAGCTACTAGTAGCTCCTGGCATCGCTACTAGGAGCAAGGACGCAAGGCATGGTGGCATGGAGAGATTAGGAGCCCACCAGTTCTCACTCGTCCTACAAACGTACATTTTGAAAGGAGCCTCCAGCGGTGGTGAAGATGTCGGGTTGGCTCCCTGATTAACAGAAGCTAGTAGTAACAAGTGCCACGCTATTAGTAACAAGTGCATCGCTTCTAGTAACAAGTGCCTTACTAGTAGTAACAAGGTTCGCTAGTGGTAACAACCTTGGCTTTCAAAAAAAAAGTCCTGTTCGTGTGGTTCTCCATTGAGGTGAGTTCGACCTGAGCGTGCTTCGTCCCTTCGAGGCCATTGGCCGAGTACCTGATCTCGTGATGGGTGTCGGAACCCAAGTGCTCAGCTGCGAAGTAGGCAAGAACCAAGACATGAATACTACAGCTTTGCCCAACTACAATTTGTTTTTTCTGTTCAACCGATTGCTAATGTTCGTTCTTGGGAGGGACAGGTGAAAGAGATCGAGGACCATGAAAATACATGCCAAGCTGTGACGGAGCCAGGCAAAATTTTTGACGAAACTTGAAAACTGGGTTTCCTGGTCAAGTGGCCTTTCCGACCGAAGTGAGACGAAATGGAGGCCAACAGGTGCCCCACTTAAATCCCTTCCCAGGGAGATAAAGAATCAAAGGCAATGCTATTCACTTCCGAGTGGTTTCAGTTGCTTTGGCTCTTTGCATGTCCTGAGATTTGAAACTTGTGCTGGAAATCTCTGAATGTCCTCCCCACTAGTGGCAACTAGTCATGCGTTTTCACTCCTGAAAAGTTGTCTCCAGCTCCTGTTCCGCATAGCCCAGCGAAACTGCTTGGCAGCCTTTCTCGCCCCCAACCTAGTTGAGGCGAATCTCGATCTGAAGGCGATGGAGAGAGAGAAGAGAGAAGAGAGGCCAACCTGATAGCAATGGCCTCCAACCTAATAGCTGCCTGGGGTGGTAAAATTTATGACATGTCTTTGGTAAAGCCCTTTCTTTCACCAAGGCGGACTTGGTGTACCGAGAGCGGGACTTCGACGCTTTGCTTGGATGCATCGCCATCCGGCAGCAGTGATTTCGACGACCGAGCGCTTCCTGTGAAACCAAGACATGAGGCCTTTGTTAGAGGCAGGTTGAGGCTTTATTGAGCTGATCGGTATGGCCAGGAAAGGGTGGACTGCATTTCGCCTGGTGAACTGAGTGTCTTCGCCAAAAAGAAGTTTTGAGATGGGTGGATTCCGTGGGGTTGCCCCACTTAGTTGTTTTTATCCGGTGTTTTTCACCATGCCCAGATCCTTGAGACGAAACATGGTAGAAGGCCATTGCTATTCGGTTGCTTGCCGTAGATGGACGAAATATTCAAACCCTTTCAACCACGAGGACCCCTCCTACCCCAAAGCTCAATGTTAGAGGTCTTGCAAGAATGTTTCGGCGAATGGACGAAACAAATCAAACCCTGGAAACGCAAATTCAATCAAGTTATGTTCAACATTGACCTTTGGGGGTCAGGGGTTGGCGACAGTTATTGACACATGGGTTTGAATATTTGGTCCATCTACTGTCTAAAGGTGTGACGTTTGCATATTATTGGCTCGTAAGTATCAAGTCTAACATCTTCATCCGTAGTACTCTGTGTTTTAATCTTCTGCGCTCAACAACCTTTCACATCGACACGTTGCGAGCGAGGACAGCAGACGTCAGGAAAGCAAGCCAGATGAAGAGCAGTTCCAGCTACTGTTCTTACTGTTGCCATGTGCCGTGTCTGTCCCCAGTGCCTTTCCAGTGCCTTTTCCAGTGCCTTTTCACGGTTTGTGTGCGCCTGCCAGTGATTTTGCCATGTGACTCACTTTTTTGCTAAAAAGAGATAGCTTATCTTTTTGTTTCAACAAAACTTACCAGAAACACATTTTTGCTGGCAGGGCCACGAGAAAGTGCAAAAGGCACTGGAAAAGGCACTGGAAAGGGACTGGGAACAGACACGGCACATGGCAACAGTAGCTGGAACTGCCCGGCATCACTTGAAAACAACACACGCATGTGCGTCTGTAGGTCTCCGGTCGCCGTCCACACCCAGTACCGTAGATGGACGAAATATTCAAACCCTTTCAACCACGAGGACCCCTCCTACCCCAAAGCTCAATGTTAGAGGTCTTGCAAGAATGTTTCGGCGAATGGACGAAACAAATCAAACCCTGGAAACGCAAACTCAATCAAGTTATGTTCAACATTGACCTTTGGGGGTCAGGGGTTGGCGACAGTTATTGACACATGGGTTTGAATATTTGGTCCATCTACTGTTGTGAAGGCATTTTCCAATGCCTCGAGAGCATTCCACTCCTCTCGCAAGGAAAGCCTAGCGCCAAAAAGGACGCTTCTGGCGGTACAGCGCCGGGACATTGCCTTAGAGGTTTGGCCTCGGTGTATTTGGAAACGCCTGTTTTGCATTCTCAGCGCTGGACTTGTCGGACCTGTTGCGGGTGATTACTGCACTTGTTGTTTCGTTAGACCTTGGAAATGGAAACGAAACTGAAGAAGCTGGGCTCTCCAGAGCAAAAGTGCAGGGTGTGTCAAGGTAACTTACAGTGATGAGTTGGTCGCGGCAAAAAGCCGCAGAGCCACCGGGATCTACTCATGTCCACTTGCCTCAACGAGCGCTTTGGAATCGGATGATTCGCCAGGCCTTCATGACACGTTTGAAGCACCGGGGATGGTTTTTGTCCAGCCCTAGCGCTCAGAGATCGGGTGTTTTTCGTCCGCCATCCGAGCTTCACGAGCTTGTCATGCCACAAAAGGAGACTTTGCCAGGTACCATCCCAACAGGGTCCTTCAGATTGTAGCGGGATCATAAGTTTAATTCAGACTGAGACCCTCACCTTTGGGCTGCACCAAGGTTGTGAAGATGTTTGTTCAGCCACTCTGACCGTCTTTTTTGGTGTTCGTCCGCCATCCAGCTTGCCGTGACGGCCAAGAGATGGGACTTGTCGCTCAGGTCAGAACATCGCGCCGCGAGTCTTCTTGTTGGATGTCGCACCGACACTTGGCAGAGGCGAAGGCTTGAAAGGCGGTGAGGCGAAGATCAAAGCGAAGCGCAAAGGGTTTTGTGTAGTCGCTAAGTGCGCTACTAGTAGCTAGAAGCTACTAGTATGTAACAAGAGAGAGCTCTTGGATGGAGAGGCTCGCTGGTGGCCACGTGAGCAGGTTCAAGGTAGGAAAGACTCCCGGAACCTCTCCAAACACCCATCTTCTGCTACTCAGGCCCGAGAAGAAGTTTGGACGCAACCTTCAGGCACACGAGGGGCCATCTAGGGCAAGCAGAAAGAAGAACAGCAGAGATGCCGCTAGAAGCTACCAGTAACAAGGGCATCGCTACTAGTAACAAGGTGTCTTACTACTAGTAGCCAGAAGCTACTAGTAGCGATGCACTTGTTACAGTTTCAATGAGTTTCAATGGTATGGCAAATGCTTGGACAGGTGTGGGTTTTGGAGGGATTCAATGTCGAAATATAATTCTGTTCCGCAAGGGCCACATACTCAGGAAGTGCCTGACATGCTCAATGTCGGGTTCTTCCACCAAGCTTCAAACGACTGGGGACCAAGCCGAGCTGGCCAACCGGTTCGGTTGCCAAACAGACACGGTTCTTCAGCGTGCTCAGGCGGAGAGCTCCGCACCGCGGAGTTAGGCGCCAGGAATTGACACCGCTACTGCTAGCTTCTTGTTACTACTAGTAAGGCACTTGTTACTAGAAGCGGGGCACTTGTTCCTAGTAGCGTCTTTGCTCCTAGTAGCGTCCTTGCTCCTGGTAGTAAGGCCAGGAGCCCCTAGTAGCGTTGGGGACAAGTGACAAGTTGTTTTCAGAAGGTTTGAAGAGGAAAAAGTTTGGGAGGTTTCAGTAGGTTGGGAGGCCATCGCTGGATCACAAAGCTGGAACTCGACGGAACCCCACGGAGCTTGAGACTCTAAGCCTCAGGCAAGACTTGGCCCTTTTTCAAGTGACGCAAAGCTGTACAGGTAAATTCACTTGCAGGTGGGCACAGCGAATTGCGCCAGTGCTGAGAAAGAAGAACAGGTGTTTTGGACAAGGAAACCCAGGACAAAAAATGCTTCCAGTTCACTCAGTGAGGGTCTGCAAGCGGAATACAGCGAGAGAGACATGAAGCAGGCTGAAGCATGCTGAAGCCGCAGCCCTGGCGTTTCGATGCAATCTTTGCTGTCGGGCAAGGCCCAGATGTACAAATGCTTTGAGGAAGGTTTGAAACAATAGGAGCAAGGACGCTACTAGGGGCTCCTGGCCTTACTTTGAGGAGAAAGGTCCCGAAGCACTGGACCACGTTTGGAATTCTAAGACCCATGACGGGATGTGCCAGGCTCACAACGTACGGAGATCCAATGAGAGAGAGAGAGAGGCCATGCTCTCTTGCTACAAAGTCAGCGCCCGACTCGGAGCAGCCTTGCCCGGGCCATTTGAAGAATTTGGGAAGCAAGCCGCGGCAAGCCCATTCCTTTTAGAGGGTCGGCCGCCCACACCCCAGAGACACAGATTTGCACGGTGGACCTATCAAAAAGGTGATGTTCCCCAAATCCGGCTGGATTTGCTTCAAGTTCCATACTACGCGACTTTTTGACCAAACCAGTTTGTCAACCACGCCACGCTGCTATTTACAATCTGCACTCTTGAACCGGGGCATTGCTTTTTCAGCGGGGCCTCAAAACTCAGGCTTGGATGTCATTGGCCTGCGTCTCCTTAACTCTTAGATTCCTCTCAATAAGTTTGGGCTTGTCGCAGTGAGTGCCCCTTACAAGGTTTTCTGAAACGGGCCCGCAGCTGTTAAAGCTGGTACAAAAGAGAATGAACGTGAACGGCGAATCCAGATGTCGGTTAGCTCGTTAGCTTGTTCATGGCTTCATCGGCGACGCGCGACGGCCATTTCGGTTGGGCCGCCGCGGCCGCGCCAAAGCCACGTCCGAAGTCTGGCTCAAAAAGGAGTGGGTTTTTGTTGTGTTCTCTTAAGGGCGGGGAGGGGAAAAATGTTAAAAGCGTTACTTCAAATAAGTGTTCTAAACTCAAATTATAGCAGTATAAAAACTCAAAAATTATTGACAAAAAAATCACAACAGACTACGACATATAACCTCATTCATTTTTCAAAATCATAACTACTGACCATCTGGTACCTCATTCATTCCACAAAATCATCACTACTAACCATCTATTACCTCATTCATTCCTCAAAAATCATAGCTACTAACCATCTATTACCTCATCCCTTTTATTGAGACCATAACAGTCAATACATCATCACCTCATCCATTCCATACTCAAACAAAACAACCAAGCAACAAACAAAAAACAAATCAAGCAAAGAACAACAAAAAAAAATAGACAACAATATAGCATAACCCCTCACCTTTAATAATCCAATCTTCAAATCCATAGTTCTAATACAGTAGATGTTATTAGAAATATGTTAGTAGTAAATGTCTTCAATAACTGTTAACTTAAAATGAAAGGCTTGTATTCTATTATGCTATCTTTATCTTGGTTTCCTTCAATAGCGGTTTTTATTTCTTCAACTGCTTCATCAAAGCCATTCATAAAGTTAACCCCTCTACAGCTACATTCAGGAGTTTTGCCACCAATTGACCTTCAATATCAAGTTTAACTCTATAATCTAAATCACCTTCTACTTTTTCATAAATCAACAATATTATCTATTCTTGTTCTTCTGTTATTATGCCTTCTATACTTTTCAAACTAAATGACACTCCCTCTCTCACAATACAGTATTCCATGTTGTATATATTTTTTT